GTGTTTTTTGATCCCACTTCTAGACTAGTGCTACAAACAGGCCTTGTTGCCCCTCATCATACTAGGCGGGAAATCGATTAAAGTTGAAATCTATCTAGGAGAAAATACCACTTAAAAAGATTATGAGCTTGCGAAAATCTAATAGAGAAACTTGCTTAGTGGAAATGTGGGAGGGGATCGTTTCGATAAAGGGGAAATCGTCAAATTTAAGCGAAACGTATTAAATACGTCGTTCCCGGAAGACGAATTAAACATACCTAAGAATAATATCTGTAGATTCTCCTATTCTGGAAGACCGGATATCTAGAGTGGTTTTTTAGCACATAACACCTGGTGCATTGTCTACAATGCACTGTATGCGAAAATTATGACTACTCAAGATGTCTTGGCTTACAGTAGAACTTATTGAAAAAAACTCGCTGGAATCTACACATCTTTTCCTACAAGATATAACCTATCTTATTCTACCAGGATGGAATTCTGATTTATCTGAGCTCATAACCTATATTACTTCTACTCAGTTGCTTCAAGGGGCAGATTTCGAACAGGAAAGCAACTAGACAAAGGGAAGTTCGTCCAGTAAAACACGATGGCGTTCCCCAATGCATCGTTGATGTGCCATTAACGTTCTTGCTTCGAAAGTATTTAAAAAGTAGTCTTTTCAAAGTCTTTTTCATAAGTTCGTGATCTTACCAATTGTTCACATTTTCTAATGGTCGTGGAATTAATTAGTTAGTTATTAAAAAAAAGCTGTCACGTGTGGCGCAGTAGTCGGAGGCGCCCTACGACACACATGTGGGATCGATCCAGCACACGTGGCTCATCAAGCCTTCCATCACTTCGAGGTTGAAAAATTGGTACTAGACTTATCTAGGAGGATAGCAGCAGCGGCTCGATACATCGGTAGGCCAGCGCGAGTCATTGTAAAGGCCAGATATGCATTCAATTAGCTCCAACGGTACTTAGTGAAGTCGAACGCATGGTTCCTCCCTCAAGGATTGATAAACGCCGATAGCTTTATTTTTTATCCTTTATTAAAATAAAGAAAAAGTTCAAGCATTACGTGTTAGACATCTTCGAATAGACACAAGACCGTCAGTGCCGATTGCTTTTGTTCTCATCACAGGTCATCAATATCCCGCCAGGTTTTCCCACCTTTCTCAGTATATGCCTTAACATCCTTGATAGATATATGCTGTATATATAGTTCTTCAAGCAGAGAAAAAGAAGGCCTACATATATTTGTCGGTTATATAACAGCTGGTCTAATATTGGATTAAAGAGAGAGCAGAATACATTGCATACGATTGTCTTACAATTTTCGATGTAAAGTTTAGTGTTTTATCAGCAGCGAACGAGTTAGCTATCAGTTGTTATCAGAGCCGAGATTGTCTCAAGTGTCATCCCATTTCATGGAGCTACGGTCTTCCTTTCGACTCTCATTGATCACCAAAATGCGGCAATAAAGTGATTCCTTGCGGATATAAAGTAAGCAATGAAAGGCAAGGTAAACAGAAACATAAAAATAAGGCATCTTATCTACCGAACGCATATTGAACACGTCTTTGCGAGTCCAAGTCCAACAGAGGGATACGTGCAAGCTGCAGGAAGCCACTCGTCTTTCGCAGCTCCACTGTGTAGGAAAGGTGTCGAGCGGTTTACTATCGCATAAGTAGTTGCCGGATGAACTCGAAATCAAATGGTGAGGCAATTTGCCCAGGTGTCAATCGTCCAGTCACTGCTCTGCTCATAAAGAGGAATTGGTGACGGGACAGGAGGGTTGGGTAACGCCCAACATTTTAGCTACCTAGTTTTCCCTCTTTACAGGCCTTCTGGAACTACCACTTTCCTTCCTTCACTTCGCCTGTTTTGCCGATGTTAAAGCCATCCTCAACCTGGAGGTTGGACCGAAGTAATCGATAATTCAATACTTCTGTACTGAAATGATAATAAGATGAAAAAAGTGAAATATAATATGCTAAATTACTGCAGTGACTTTCCACCATTTAAGTAATTACACTTATACTGATATGCCCACTTAGTAAAGAAAAACATTGTTTTTTTTTCTGCAGTGATGTTGACTGCTGAGTGAAAGGTAAAAATTTAAAAAGTGTTTTCGTACAAAGGAATTGACTACATGAAAATTGGTATAAATTGCAGACTATATTAAGTTTTGTTAGTTTGAGAATTTCGCACAGTTACGTTCTACGTAGGAGTCGGATGGCACAGTGGTGGTGATGTCGTTGATCATGAGCACGATTCTTGTCTGGTTCGGCTGCACACCTTTCTCATCAAGCCTCACATCGCTACAAGGTCAGAAAATTGGTACTACACTGTTCCGGTAAGACTTCACTTCCTGCAGTCCAAGTGGAAGCACTCTACCTGGCTATCTCACGACTCCAGGGAGAATGGTCTCTACGAAAATTCAAAAACATTCATAATTAAGGGAAAGATCTTCAACCAGCAACTGATTCCACACGCGAAAAGTTCGAAGCTCTTTGTGGATGATGGATGCCAGAAAACGAATCGAGTGTAACAAGTGCAAGAATCCGCACAGTGGTTGTGAAGACGGGTCATGTAAAGAAAAAATAAAAAATAAAAAACATTGAACATAGAAAAAAACATTCCATAGATGCCATCCAACTAAATGTGGCGAACTAACAAGGTCAGTTATGATTTTTGAATGACGTACTGATGGAGTTGGAAGTGAATCCGTTCTTTTTATTCTATTATTCACGGCCTGACCTCAAGTAATGCGCATCCCGCAGCACTGCTTAAATTTGTTGTTTTGTTTTGTACACATTATCCACGAAGCTTTTCGGATTTGCACATCGGTCCAGCTTCCAATTGGGAATTCCGTCTTCTTCTTTCAAATCGCTGATTTCTAGTCGAGTTGCTCTTTGGGAATACTGGATGGTTTTACTAGAGCGTTCCCTGTTCTCCACCATTTACCGAGCATTATGCGTTAGAGTGTGTTTTTCAAGTATAAATCATGCTAAAAATTGTCGAATGTTTCTTTTTAATGATAAAAGTAGCCTTTTGTCAAAAATGTCACAGGTGAAAATTACTTAATATTCTGCTCCACTAACTTTATGCATACCGTAACTGCTTGAATATTCACAATATTAGCCCTTTATTTCCTGCCTACTATAATTTCTCGCGGCAAGGTATGATGTGAATTACAACCACAACGAAGCTGAGATATTTGCAAAACTTGGACTCCGGGCCAGATCGAACTACGATCTCCCTTTCCGGAGTCTCGCACATTGCACACTACGCCAAGGAGGTTCTTGCTCTGCGTTTCTCTCAGCTATCATTTTAATATTATCATTGTGTTGGAAATTCTTTCCAATCAGGATACGTGATGCAACAGTGAACCATACTGTCGCGTGAACAATTCGTTCAATTCGAAAAGTTGCGTTGACTGTTTGAGTGATTCTTCTGCACGTACTTCTTCTCTAAATGCGTATTTGCTCTTGTGGGCACAATATTTAACATTTCAGAACAGCTACGAATTTCGCTCATGAACATCCATATACATTTGAAACCGATCAGAAAACACTCAATGAGCTTCACAGCATAGACGTGAGCATTAAAACGAAATTTTAACACTTAGCGCGCCAAATGCATGGGAGAGAAGCTTCTCCAACATACCTGAACTCATATTAAACTTTAATAGTGGGAGTACAAACTATTAGAATCCGTAGGCCAAGCAGGATGCGATACTGTTCCTCAGTTGAAAGAGTGGTCAAATATTGAGTTCATACATCGGTAGGCCAGATGTAAAATTACTCGCTTTCACCACGTGGTTGAGTCGGCTCTTCCTGGAGTCCTGAGATAGCCGGGATAGACCGCCCCACTCGGATTGTAAAGAGAGAATTTTTTCCCGGACAAGTGCGGTATCAATTTCCCGACTCCGAAAGGTTGAGAGGCTTGGTGAGCCCATAGCGGGATCGAACCAGCACGCTGCTCTTGATGTTAAAAAACCGTTTATCGATGTTTATGACAAATAATGCAAACTAATGTATAAGTGAAAGTTGTAAAGCCTGCTTTGCAAAGCGCTTAACCTTACGAGTGAGACATGCTGTAGTTGTAATTTGGTTTCGTAAATTTCGGTATGTTACAAATGCAGTGGATCGGAAAATGCGATAGATAAGCGGAAATGGTTGAGTACCTACTTCTGGATACTTCTCTAGATGACTTGAGCTTATCCTCGAAAAGTGACCACGGTTTCGAACGAAGACGGTGGCGCCAATAATTCTTCAATGCTCCACCCGGCCTGAAGCGCTATCAAACTGTCAACAGATTACAGTGTTAGCCGGGTCTTTTGTGAAAAGCCGACGACAGGGCAGTGTTCCGACGGTGGACTGAGTAGGCACGTTATCGTCTTGTCAGTAGAAATGAAAGTCAAGCCGCCATCGAGATAGTGGTTGGGCTTCATCCAAACACCGTGTTTGTTTGCCTCAAATATTTTCTTCGTTTTCTCAAGTATTCTTTCTCCACCATCCTGTGACAGTGCCTGTATCGACAAAAGAAGAATTTAAAATTCTTCCCGTGCTGTTAAAAATCCTCCTATTACTTCTCCGAATTACAACAACAGAGAAGTTTCTTATTACCTAGACGATATCTGAATTGATTGCTTTGATTTGTGTGGCAAACGTAATGACCAATAAATATGGGCATTTACATCATGGTTTCCTTGGTGTGTTTATTGAGAATGAACGACCCTTTCTCCTAGGAGCAACATTTCCATGATGATTGTCTATTCAAGATCTTTTTCGGTTCCCTAACATTTTTTCAACTCCCTCTAAGTCTTCATCACCGCATATACGATGTCATATAGTTGTTGAATTAGTTGTTCAGCATTCGGCCCAGAATCGAGTGCGCCAGTTAAGGGAATGAACGCTCTCTTAGGCTAAAAAATATCCGGCACAAGATTAACCAGTGCGAATACACAATGTATTATGAGCACTCCCTAATGTACTTCTTTCAGAAATGAAATGAAGGAGCCGTTGAAATTCTTTCGACCATGGGAGGATAATATCGACATTTCTGATCAAGTAATTCCGACAACGATTTGGCAAACATCGCCGTCGTTACTCAGTGTTTTTCCCTCATCGCTATGGCTATGCAGTACCTACCACTACTCAACCCAACTACGTACACCTGATGTAGTACCATCCTTTCAATCAGCGGTAAATCGTTCGTGTGTTCGATGCGGATGTCCATTCTGTGCCCTACGGTCAGTCTATTCAAATTAATTTACAACGAAGTTTTATTTATGCGGTGAGGTGGTTACAGTTGCCCTTCACTACACAACGGATCAATCGCTAGTTTGTTCCTGCGCTTTGGGCTCACAAACCCTTCAAACCGTTCGGATTCGACAAATTTGGCAGCAGATTTGTTTGAGAGGATGGAAGCGCCGACTCGATAGATTAGAAGGCGCTGCAAGTGATTACGTAAACCAATATGTCTTCGATCACCTCTGTGATGCTTAATGAAGTCGAATGCAACGATGCATCCTTTAGGTGATTGATCAATGCGAAAAGCTTTGTTTCTAATCTGACCAATGAGCACTATATTCTAAACGCGAAGCTCGTCAGAACTCATGAATTTCATTGCTCGTACAAGCATCCTTATAGTTTACCCTTTCAATTTCAGTTTCTTGAAAACTGTACTCACCCACTGATAGTTTTCGTTTCAGTAAAAGTGGAAAAAAGCCTTCTGACAGTTCTGTTCACATATGTGACGTACCAAACTGTGGAAAAACGTACAGAAAAACCAGCCATCTGAAAGCTCATCTACGGTCAGTTTATTGCTTAGTAAGATTTCATTTATCGTAACGCGTTCTGTAAATTATCTATTCGGCTTTTCTAGATCCCATATTGGCTCTCGACCCTTCGTATGCCAATGGTTGCAGTGTGAAAAGAAATTTTCGCGTTCGGATCAACTGCAGGTATTGGCTTAAAGTTTGAAGCTTTTAAAATAACGACAAATGTCAGACTGATAATGACAAATTCGATTTGAAGTTTGAAGACTAATCAGGTTTGTAGCATACTTGGATACTTGGATGGCCCTTCCTCAGTGGTTGCGCGGACCCCAACACAATCTCCATTTTTTCGGGGTTTTACTGCTTTAGCCGTTGGGGTTCTCTGGGTTCCCAAGGTCAGAGCCGGGCCAAAGTCTGCTCCGTATTGTCACTACCAGAGGCAGTCGCGGTCCTTATGGATTAGAGGGAGATTTGCCATCACGCGACTAGTTTCATATCAGTTGGTGGTTCACTCTTAGTCATAGTTCCTAATGGAAACGCCGGATTCCTTCTCAGCTTGGGAGGCCCAGCCGGTGGGACGAATCTCCCTCTGTATATGGCAGTCCGACATTCAAGAACACCTCCCACCCACGATGAGGAGGTAAACCGTTAGGCGGTTTATAGCATATTTTCGCTCTATAGTAACGCTTAATCACAAGTTAGTCTTAAGAAGCTGTAAATGCTTTTGCCTTATGCATTTCGCAGGCAGGCTTTTTCTTGAAAGATTTTTTCGCTTCAATCTATGCTTCATAGAAATATTAAATTTATGGACAGTAGTAAAAAATTAGTATATGATGTCGATTGAACCTAGGAATTTCGGAAGCGGCGACAATAACTGCAGAAAACCGTCCGCTGTTTGCGCTTTGGCGAATTAGCCGTTCTTTGCAGTTCAGCGTTGAACTCTTAAAACCTTTTGCAATTACTATTTTATGTAACGACTGGTGGAACTCTCTCAGGGAACCGTCATTAAGTCAGGTTGTTTTTCAGCGTCACTTGCGTGCTCATACGGGCGAACGACGGCATTCGTGCTCGTTGTGTGGACGTTGTTTCTCGCGATCTGATCATCTGAAGCAGCACCGACTAAGTCAACATGATGCTGACGGTTGAATCACTGAGTTGGTTACCAATAGTATCAATGAGTGCTCATGTCAAATGTTTTAGCAATCATTTCACAATCTTTGTTGAACACTTACGTATTTGCTTATCATAAGCTACAACGCAGATGTGTCAGACTAAAACAAAGGCGTTGATTTACGCACCGAACTAATCAATACACACGTTCGGTTAGTATGAACTATAGTGCCTAGAGTTGTGTCGAAAGTATTTACTACGTCCAAAGTTAAAAGCTTACTTTAAAGGTTTTATGTTATTTTTTATTGCTTGAGGAAGGGCTATTGTCTTAACACCATGGATTTTACTCTTCACCAAAGAAAGAACAAAATGCAACTGCAAGTTCCCACAAGCTGCGTTTCTCTACAAGACATTCTATTGCTTTGTTTAGGAAAAATGAACTAAACTTCTTTTTTCCAACCGTGACAAAGTGGTCAAACTTGGTCATTCCGCTTACCACTGTTTTAGCAGCTGCTCAAACCCACTTTCTTGTCCCAACAGAAAAATCAGGTCGTGCAGACATTTTTTTCTTACATATTTTTCTTACATCCACTGAAGCAATCTCGGTGGTAACATAACCAGGATCTAATTTGAAAAATTTAAATGTGCAGGAACTTCCTGCGTAATAATAAAAAAGTAGGAGAATATAGAGAACAAAGGATCATAGTCAATAGAGCAACGTAGATGGATAGAAAATAAAGTACAAAGCTCTCGGTGTTGAACATTTGAAGGTGGCAGAATGCATATCTGGTCTATACAGTGACTCGCGATGGCCTACCGATGAATCGAGCCAGTGTTGCTGTTCTCCCAGACAAGTCCGGCACGAATTTGCCGACCCCGGAAGGATGGAAGGCTTGGTGAACCAGGGGCGCGGGTAGATTTCATGTGTATTGCAGGGCGCCTCCGACCACTGCACTACACGCTCCATTTTAAGGTAGATGACAGAGAATAAAATCAGACGAAGCTTACAACGTCATGACAATCAGAGTACCAACGTTGTTAATTGGCAGACTTGTAAAAGAATACCTTTCAAAACGACTTATTGTGAATACACAAGTGACTATGACAGGCAGTTTAAAAACCTTCATTTAATCCAGATCTGTGACATCAACACATCCATTGCTACCATATTTGCTCACATCATGTTCGAAATATCGCAAATGGTCTTTCACTCCATAGTGAAGGTAGTAGCCGTTGCTTAAAACCATCGAAGGGTTGTTGACATAGAAGTTGCGAATGTCGAATGTTGAACCGTAAGAGTAGTAAGCACTTAGTTTTACCTTTTGGAAAAACACATCTTGTGCTCAAAACTTTTTTGAAGTTGTTTTACACCCAACGAATATGAAGCTTGGAAAGAACTGGAGCAGGACGGTAAGGCGGTTATTTAAATCTTTCATTACCCTTTCGCTATATATAGAGTCAGGACAATTTTCCAAATATATGAAATACTGATTGGTCTATAAAAACGGGATCTACCACGATGAAAATTGCAAAATTAACGACTAATAGTCGGCAGCGAAGGAAAATGCTTGGATAAAATTTAAGAATTTGGATGTCAGAAGTTGTTTCACGCCTTGACTATGCTCATTCCTTGAGCCATTCGTTCTTACGTTCATATTGTGCCTCTCTAGCCTAGAGGTGGTAAACATTTCAGCTTAAATTCGGAGATGTTTAGTTTAGTACGGAAGAAATCAGAGCGCCATAACTTCCGAAGTAATGTGTATCACTTTTACCATATGTTGTTACTTAGACAGTTCACCATTAAGTAAGACGTAAAGCGCAGAGCATTCAGTGCTAATCTGTTTCTAAGTAATGGACCACGCACTCGACTCTCTTAATCATCATAGAGATGACTGAGCGTATATCTGGACTACACAATGACTTTTGATGGCCTGCGTATGTGTAAAGCCGGTGTTTTTCTATCCTCACAAACAAGCCTGATGAAAATTAACGATTTCCGGGGGTGCTTGAATAGCTCAGGGCACGGGACCGAACCAATGGCGACGTGCGCATTGCAGAGCACTTTTAGCCACTGCGTTATCGGAAAGTAGTGGCGTGATAATTTGCTAGTGATGATGCGTGCAACAGGTGGATTTACTTTGTTTTTAACCGTGAAGTAAAGCTTCACCTGCATTTGTCGTCTTCAAACTGTGGGGTGCCTTCACAGATTCGAAATATTGAATTATTCGTCATATTCATTGGGAACCACACTTCCGTGCCATGGTGATATGGCGAATGGTTCAGTAGTGGTGTACAAGAATGCGAGAAGAATCGAAACGCACATGCTGGTAAGTGTGCCACCTGAAAACATCGAAAAAAGTGCTTATACAAAAAAAATAGAGGAGATTTCAAAAAGATTCATAAACTGCTCGTAGTTATTTTTAAGAATCTTAACAAAGAAAACCCCGACGGTAACTCCAGTTTGATAGAAAATATAAACTCTACAATTGCTAAAATTTGACACGAACCAAGTCGTACTTATGCACTATTCTCCAGCTGTTCGGCACCAGACGACTGTGAGCCTCGGCGTATTCATAGTTTCCGACACGTGGCTGCCCAAACGTGACTAAGTTAATCCTTAAGAAAAGCCTTGATAGTCATAACCGTAATATATAAGGATGAATTATGCGAAAGACATTTTGGTACAACAACAAACATATATTGAAGGGCTGGATGTCTGTGAGCAAATACAATCGACGCCAAACTCGCCAGTGCTCCACCTAAGGAATGACCGGTGAAGAGTACCTGATAGCGGGGATAGATCTGCAATTGTTACGATCCTCATGTGTTTCGTATCCGAGAGGCGTAGCAGTTTTCAGAAATGTGGGAAGCAAAACAAGCACACTTGAAAAAATGTTCCAAGCCTCTTCATATCTGCTGTGATACAATAAAATAGTAATTTAATTCACCTATGCGGTATAAACCCACAGATCGTAGCTTCCTAATGACCGCATGTAATTTTTTCCAAAACGATTTCAAGGCCACGTAAAAATAGCGTTGCACAGAGCCTCCAGCACGAAGCTAAAAAAGTCGAGACAATACCTGCGTACAGAAGGCGACGGTTCATGAAAAATTATAGAGTGATTCATTTTTAGGGCATCCATAATAGGGTCCATCCATAGTGTGGTTGAAATTTGGATAAATATGTGCAAACAATGCGAGTTAGTGATTTATAGGAAAAGAGCAAACCAGATCAGAAAACACCAAATAAAAAAATCTTTCGATATGTCACATAGGATTCCACGGATGCCGAAGAATCGCTTAAAAATCTTAAGATTAATGCCTAGTGATTGGTACGCTTGACGTGTCGGTGGCGTGTGGACAGGCGCTTCCAACCACTGCGCCACGCCCACCGTCTGCTTTACACCTCTTGTTGTATTTTAACTAAATAAATTCTGTTACTCAGCACTACCGCTAGACTTTTTAGTAGCCTTGAGATGTAAATTTATCATATAGAAACATTGAAACAAAAAATAATTACTCAAAGATGATGGCCTGTAATATGGAGGGCGCACTTTTTTTTTTGGCTCGCTCATAGTTTCGATGAGCTCGGCGATAAGTTGGACTTTTGTGCGAGTGCCCCGGAAGGAAACTATGATCCAACCGTCACGAATCGCTACGAAGCTCCAACACTGAAACATGGATAGCCTATAGATCTTCCACGATATTGTCGATAAAAAACAGATTAATACTGCAATTGATTACAAATACTACCTCATCTTTCAAATAATCACATGGTACTGCAATGCGATATACCATGAAAGCATTGTGTTGCATCAAACAAGGAGTTGGATCCGGTGCATATGCTGCAGCTGAAATCGAGGTGTTGCAAAGGAACTCTCTTAAACGAGTTTGAAAATTAAGTTGTCTCGAGGAGAAAAGGAACTTGTTTCCATCTCGACTCGTAGCTGTCGTGTAGTGGAAAAATTGTCTGAACTCGTCGAAAAATGTGCTCTGTCGAGAATGTATTTAAAGGATTATTGGCAAGGATTATTTTTTTTTCTTCAATCAGTGGATAAATATTCGGGTAAAACCTTCAACTCACCAGCAAAGTCCAGTGCCCACAATGCTCGACTGAGATCAAACGATGTGCCATTCGTCGACATCTCAACATGAGAACTTCGTTCACTAGCGACAGACGATAAGGAATAGATGAAAGCAAGAATGAAATGCATAGAAATGCCTGAAATCATTCATTGGTCTGCGCTGATCGAACGGATTGCGCTCTACTATGGCTTACGCATTAAAAAAGATGACATTCATAGACATTACATATCGACTTATTACAATAAGTTGTAACAACCCCACTTCTAGATTCCCATGATGTAGTCAGTAGTCATTCTCGCAAATTTGAGATGCATTTCTCAGCTATCAATACAACCCATTCAAAAAAGAGTAACCCTCGAATATGGCATCCAGGTTCGAACTGATTCACTACTTCACAAGAAGTCGATATGGTAACAGAGAAATATCACAAAAAGAAGGTTCCAGTCATTGTTCTATTAAGTGAGGCTTAGCAACTGATCGATGCCCAGCTGTTCGATAGCACCTGACGTCAGTTTTGCAACTGCTTGGTGTCACTTTGAAGGAAACCATGCCGAAAGAGAATCATCCGTTGAACTCTCTCCAAACATTGATAGCTTTAAAAGGATTTTCCTACCTGTGGATACCCTAGGTGAGAATTGAAAAAAATTGAAAAGTAATTATGAACCGACATAGACGTGGCTCTTTCTATTTTTTGAAACTGTCTAGTTAAATCCAAGTCGTCAACAGCCACAAATGACAACAATGAATGGAAAAAACTAGGGTGAAAACGAAAATGTTACAGTGACCTCGACTTGCTACTTTAAATGCGGCATAATGTGTACATGGTTGGTGGAGATTAACGCTTGCAAAAGTTTGAGGAACATCTGTATGAATGCAAACGATGCAAACGTCTATTCGAAAAAGGACTCTGCTAGGTTCTCTCGGCTACGTTTGAGCTGGGAAGGTCGGGGAATTCGAAAACCGCCATGGAGAATTCCTGCAGTGGTCATTCGCTCCACTGCTCACTATCGATGATATGGCGAAAAAATTGGTATGAGGAAAAACGTCTAGAGGCATTCGATATCAAGAGGCTAAATCGGAACATAAATGTTGAAAACGGGCTGTAGTAACTCACAGAAGTCTTTGCTTTAACACTGAACGTGCAAACAATAAAGTTCTTGTAATCAGCGTAAATCGATTATTCTGCTGAACCAGTGTCTATGCTGTCTCGAAGCGTTTTTTACATGAAGGAACAGAAGTCGCATGGCTCAAGAAATAAGCCCTAAAAGCTTTATCAGGTGAAATTATGTTACTGGCAAGTTACAGAGTAGATATCATTGTCGAGGATAGTGAAAAATATAATCAACTTAACATCACGAAAAGCCGTGCCGAGGAAAGCCACCAACAGATGTCTATCTCACGCCTACACTGCTACGTGGTATAGAACATATTCCTGAGATGAACAACGACTACAAACGTACTTTCGAACATCACGAATTTTGCAAGAAAGTGCTTAGACGAGGCCATAAACAGAGGAACAATATTAGCGCCTGAATCCGCACAAATCTGCAAGAGTATCTGCAAATTTTACCAGAAGTTTTGCCAGCGCCAATAACAACTCCATCCAGAAAGGTACTGGAAGAGGTAACTACTCCTGACTCCCACATTATTTTCGAGAACTAAGCCGACGACTCGCTTCTAAACACCACAGAGGAGCGATATGTCGCCTCCGTGGTTCTTTTTTCCGGAGAGGTCTGATGTCCCACTCCGTTTGTCATATACGAAACAGCACACAAGTCTGACACGGTCAGACCTAAATATCTTAACAACTTACCACCGCACCTCATCAACGTAGGAGCTCGGCTGTTCTCAGGTCACTTGTTGGAATGCAAGGATTTCAGTAAAACAAATAGCAGTGTCCTGTTGCCCTGTTGTTTGCACGATAGACAGCCATAGGAGAAGATTTGGCTTTGTCAAGAGTTAAGAAAGATCACAATAAAAACCCAATTAAGTACTGTGAGCGTTTTTCCCATTCCGTCTTCACTCCACTCCACTGTTTTCGGCTAGATGCGACGAGGAAAGTTCACATTAATGAGAATGAACAGCTGAGGACGCAAACGACTCTGATCAATCCGGCTCTTATGAAAGCGAAGACGCCGAAGCAGTGAAATAACATCTTTGCAATTACCTCATGTCAGCCTAGCAGTCTACGAAAATATAATGAGAGTGTCCAAAGCTCGATAGATATCACTAAATAACTTCTCTAATGCTGAGATATTTGCAAAACTCCGGACCGACGCGATATTGTCCTTCCCGGGGAGTAACGCGTTTATCACCACACCACGCGGGTCCTTCGTTTCGTCCGTCTCTCAGCGAGTTCTATTGATCTTTTTCCATCAGCAATCATATCTCAGCATTATAGTAGTTATATTTCGCAAATACCCTGCCTTTAAAAAGAATATCCAGTAAATAAAATGGCTAAGATATCACTATAATTAAACACTTCTGCAGGCATGAGTTATATGTGAGTCCTTCATATCTTATATTATATATTATATATATATATATTTGCACGCACAAACTACAAGGAAGTATAGCTTAATTAATGGCGAAGTTTTTAATTAAAGCAGAATCTAAGGTTTGCTGATCAGCACGAACCGTGCACGACTTTTACAGCCTGCAATCATAAAACACTAGTGTTTAAAACTCGGAAAACATACTTTTTTCGCTCTTAGTCGCCAAGACACAAGTCTCGAACAGCGAAGGAGTTCATTAAGCTGGATTTCGTAGAACTGAACAATAGTGTCCTTAACGCTTTGTTGGCACGTCTGGAGTTCGCGCGTGCGCTAAGAACTTTAAAAATTCAGATTTTGTTTTCAACTTTCGAAAAGCACGAATTTTAAGCGAAGTCGGAACTGGAAGAGCATTTTGGAACGAATGGATGAATTTCTGTAAGTATATCAGCAACTTCACAATTCCTCAAGTGCATTGGCTATCGTAAAATAAGGAGTCGACAAAAAATAAGCGTCTCAGTCGTTGTTGTCTGTATGTTAAAGAAAGCCTTCCGTTCTGTTTTTTTCTACCATGTCGGGAGGAAAATAGTTATTTGAAGCTTTGGATAATCAAAGCGTTCCTACAGATTGATATCGAGAATACAAGGATCGTTCATGAGTTGTACAGCGATTTCGGAATAGAGTTTCGTCATTCTATAATGGGATCCTCCTAACGGTTTACCGCCCCATTGCGGCTAAGAGGTGGCTCTGGGTGTCAGGCTATGATGTACAGCGGAAGGGTTTATCCCTCTGCCAGTGTCTACCAAGCTGAGAAAGAGTCCGGCGTTCCTATCAAGAAACTCAGTAAACCAAAACCAGGATCCGCTACCATCTTAGTACCAAAATGATGGCATGGTGGTAAATCTCCTTCTGATTCACAAGGGCAGCGACTGCCTGTAGTGGTAACTACCTGTGGCAGACTTTAGCTTGGTTGACCTCAGAACTCCAGAGAACCAAATGGCTAAACTAACAAAACTCCAAAGCAATAGAGATTATGCTGCGCCAGCAAAACCTATGAGGACGGCCATCCAAGTATCCAAGTAAGTAAGTATGATGACACCACCTTTCATGGATACATATGCATGACTAGGAAATAAGTACATAGCCTCGCACCATTCTCGTCGTGAAAGGTTAGGCGAAATCCAAAATATCAAGAAAAAAACAAAGTGGAATTCTTTGGCTCGCAGCTAAATTGCCCTAATTTCCGTAAAGCCGTCGTTCTCACAATACTAATCACTATTCGTGGAAAGCAAATGCTCTCCGATTCGAGCTGCGAGCGATCTTGCTAAATCGTAAAAACACGATCTCCACAGGAAGCGAATTCTGTCATTGTTTTCATCTTTAACCAAATGAATAACTATGCTACAGCTACCAGTGTGCCACTTCATGAAGAACGGTTTGCTTGCACAGCTGCACAGCTGAGGAGGAGGTAACGAATATTGAAGGTTCCAAGAGCATAGAGGAAGCAATGAGGAGGACAAAGATAGCTCGGTGTTCTGGTTCTCCGACTTCGCAATCATCGTTGCTCCAATATCTTGATTATTTAAGCACTATGAGTGATAACTTAACACAATCGAACGCGCAAAGGAGAGGGCCGTGCTAGAAGTATTTTGTAACACGAAAGCGACAACGGGAATCTGATGTTCTTATACATTTCGACATTCAAGAATTATCGGCAACACTGACGCAAACACTTTGATGTCAAAAACTAGCTGGACCAGAGATCTCACTCATCTGCGCGACTACTACTGAAAGACCTGCCAGCGGCTCGATTTACGTGTCCCGCGCACAAGAGGAAGATAATGATCAAATTCCTTCGTGAAGACCTTGAACTAAAAAACCAAAAAACCTAGAATGGATAAGGACTCATGAAGTTTTTCAAAAACGAGCTCATAGTACTGAATAATCAAGCGGATTAGTTCATACAATTGATTTTGCTAGACTGATATGAATTCTTTAAAAGCCTAAAGATGCAACAAAATTTAAATGGTATTCTCTCCCTTAACTTTTTTCATTCGTATTAAAACAAATTAAAGGATTCGCAGTTGATTCCTGAATACATTATATTGTTTTTAACCTGAGATAAGGCTTCCGGTAGTGCAGTGGTAGCGATCTTGTTCATTATGCGGCTGTAGCGACCTATCTAGGTACTGGTTCGACCCCTCAGCAGGCCTACTCAGGCTGTCATCCCGCTGGCTAGGGACGTTGGTAACGGGCTTGACTGGGAACAGTTCACTTTATGCAAATTATGTGAAAACGCTTTAGCACGGCCAACCAAGGACTCAACAAAGAATCATTTCGACTAGCGTTCAACTACAATCATAAAGAAGACTAAAATCTTCAGCCAACATCCGGAACCGCACCCAAAATCGAAGACTCGGTGGGGGAAACGAATCGATTTGAAGAAATGCTGGGATCTGCACAATGTGATACATGTAATGTTGAGTCATGTAATAAATGAAATATAAAACCCAGCAACGCCGTCTACTTTGTATGGGTGGTGAGTGCGTGGTAGGGCAACTAATGTTCTTCGGCCGCATAGTTAGCAACATGAGTGCCGTGACAGGGAAAGCGCATCCAGCAGGTGAATTCGCCCAGCTCGTTGTACTTTTTTGGGAA